AGAGCGGGTTGTTGGGATGGTTTCTGAGTTTGTATCGGATAGTCGAGGTCTCATGACTTATCAGGGCAGGATTTGGGTACCGTTTGTGGGCGGTACACGTGCTACATTGATGAAGGAGGCTCATAGATCGAAATTTTCGATCCACCCCGGGGCCACGAAGATGTATTTGGACCTAAGGAAGGAATATTGGTGGCCCTGTATGAAGAGGGATGTAGCATGGTTTGTCGAGAGGTGTTTGACCTGTCGAAGGGTAAAAGCCGAACACCAGAGACCGCATGGCAAGTTGCAGCCATTGGAGGTTCCCGAGTGGAAGTGGGAACAGATCACTATGGACTTTATCACCAAATTGCCGAGGACTGCCAGAGGAGTGGATGCAATTTGGGTGATTGTGGATAGGTTGACAAAGAGCGCTCACTTTCTTGCCATCAGTGAGAGCTCTTCGGCGGAGAAATTAGCGGAGGTTTACGTGAGGGAGGTTGTATCTCGGCATGGGGTGCCGGTCTCGATTGTTTCAGACCGCGATGTGCGGTTCACTTCCCGTTTCTGGAAGAAATTTCATGAGGAATTGGGTACTAAGCTGCATTTTAGTACCGCGTACCACCCCCAGACTGACGGTCAGAGTGAGCGGACTATACAGACACTCGAGGACATGCTTCGAGCTTGTGTATTGGATTTTGGGGGTAGCTGGGACACGTATTTGCCTTTGGCGGAATTTTCCTACAATAACAGCCATCATTCGAGCATTGGTATGCCACCTTTTGAGCTGTTGTATGGTAGGAGGTGTCGGACTCCCATATGCTGGGGAGAGGTTGGGCAAAGAGTAATGGGCAGTACAGAGATTGTGGATCAGACGACAGAGCAGATACAGTTGGTCAGGCAGAGGTTATTGACCGCTCAGAGCCGACAGAAGAGTTACGCGGATAGGCGCCGGTCAGAGTTGGAATTTCAGGTCGGCGACTTCGTTCTCCTGAAGGTCTCTCCTTGGAAAGGAGTGATCCGGTTCAGGAAGAGGGGCAAATTGGGGCCCCGGTTTATAGGCCCGTTTCGTGTGATTGACAGGGTAGGCCGGGTAGCCTATCGGCTGGAGTTGCCAGCAGAGTTGGGGCAAATTCACAACACTTTTCATGTATCGCAGTTGAGGAAATGTATAGCCGATGAGTCGGCAGTGGTTCCACTTGAGGATATTCAGGTCGATGCAAGCCTGAATTATGCGGAGAGACCAGTGGCTATTAAGGATCGGAAGATCAAGGTTTTGAGGAACAAGGAGGTACCTCTGGTATTGGTCCAGTGGCAACATCGGAAGGGATCAGAGATGACCTGGGAACCGGAGGATATGATGCGGGAGCAGCATCCGGAGCTGTTTTAGAGCGGGACTTCGAGGGCGAAGTCCAATTCTAGTGGGGGAGAGTTGTAACATCCGGATTTTTACCAGGTATAAAATGAGTTTAATTGTGTTCATTTATAAGAGGGACTCGGCGAGTCAGGGCTCAGACTCGCCGAGTAGGGACGCGGGTTGGAGCGAAGCTGCGCGCTTGGACTCGGCGAGTCCATGGCATGGACTCGCCGAGTCTGCGCTGTGTTGAGAAACCCTAAGTCTCCGGACTTGTGGCCTATTTAAAGGGCCTTATGGCCGACTTTGCACTCACCCAACCCCAGAGAGAGACCCTAAAGAGATCTAGAGCGTTTGTGAGGAAGGAGAGGCTAATCTTGACCTTTTGTGGGTGTTGTTGCAAGGAGGAAGTGTTCAAGGCAAGAGGAGGCTGAAGGAGGTGCGATTTTCGTGATCCTTGAGCTCATAGAGACTGTATTGAGGTATTATTCTCGGATCTTCTTCCCTTTTTGGTGCTATTCTTAGTGTTAGGGTTTTCTAACCCTTTTAGAGGTTGATTGAGTGGAGTAGTTGGTCCCTTTTCGAGTTTGTGTCTTGGATCTGGACCCAAAGAGGTCCAGAGACCTTAACCCTCGGAGCTTTATGGTCATTTCGGGAGTCTTGAGCTTGGAATGCACTTTTGGGGTTAAATCGCCATTTTGGACCATGTAGATGTTGTATGTGCGTCAAGATTCAAACTTTACGTGATTATCATGCTTGGGGAGGCCAGATCTATGAATTTGTGGGACAGATCTGACCTCAGAAGTCGTTTTGAGTTCGTGCATGGCATGGACTCGCCGAGTCCGAAGAACAGACTCGGCGAGTCGGATGAAGGTTGCCCGTCAACTGCTTAATGAGTGGACTTGTCGAGTTGGGGAGATGACTCAGTGAGTCTGGGAGAGTCAGGGGACTGAGTTCAAAATGGAACTCGCCGAGTTGCTCTTGGGACTCGGCGAGTCGAGTCGTGGTGGCCCCACAACTCGTGCCAGGTGGAGCTCGCCGAGTTGGGGGAGAAATACTCGACGTGTCGAGGAAGGATTTCAGGGAAGTTGGTGCATGCGCACGAACACGCCGAGTCGCCATAGTGCACTCGCCGAGTCCGGTCAAAGTTGACCGTTGACCAGCGTTGACCAAGATTAATTGTTATAGTGTGATCAACTCTAGGTTGAGAGAGTGTTAATTAGGGATGTGTTGTGCTATAGGTGAACTTCAGCTCGGCGGATCGAGTGTTTAGTGATTTCAGGGTTTCGAGTTACAGAGACACACGAGGTGAGTTTTCTCACTATACTTTACCTTGAGTAGGTAACCAGAGTTATGTGACAGAGTATTCATATGTTGTATGTTATGTGTAGTACTGCATGATTTCTATGTGATTTTATGTGGTGCATGTTTATCAGAGCTAGAACCTGAGGGTTCACAGGGCGTGGGTGCACGGACCCACAAGAGTTACAGCCTCGAGTGGCTAATATGTGTTATATGTGGTATTTTGGGGAACTCACTAAGCTTCGTGCTTACAGTGTTGATGTTATTTGTTTCAGGTACTAGTGACGACCGCGGGAAGGCGCCGGCTTGATCCGTACACACACGCTGGAATTTTTATATGTTGATCTTGGGAATTTTGTGCTGATATGTTAACAGTTAAGGGGTTGTTTTATGAGATCAAGAAAAAGGGGTGTTTTATGAATGTTAATGATATTATGTTTTTATACAAAAAAAAAAAAAAAAAAAAATTTTCTACTTTGAATTTTCGGTGTTACAGAATCAATCCATTCCCTAATAAAAACCACATCATCTGCATAGAATAAGTGAGGAATATGGACCGAAACAACTTAACCAATAGAAATAACCCTAAAAATACCATGATCTACCGCCTTCATAAAGGATATATGTAGCACTTCCATCGCAAGAATAAACAAAAAAGGAGATAAGGAATCTCCTTGGCGCAACCCACGAAAAAACCAAAACACTTTCGTTGAGGAACGACTAACCAACACAAAACACATAGAAGAAGTAAGACAAACTTGACGGAGTAAATAACATATGTGAACGAAGTTTCCAGTCACTCGAGAGATGAGGCGGTGGAGGGATTAAACTAACCTCAATGGAATGAAGTAACCCAAGTAACAATACCATGGAAAGGGTACATGGTACTGTTCCTAATGTGTATATATATATATATATATATATATATATATATATATAATGTGTATATATATATATATATATATATATATATATATACACATATACATACGTATATATAACAACCCCACCAATAAATCTCGATAATGGCGTTTGCGAGTTATATATTTCCTTGCGAGTATTAATGCCTTGCTTGTTCATGAGGTTTCGTTCAACCATGCAATAAGAATTTGTTATAGTAAAGAGTAGCGAGACAACATATTTCAGTCTATTTAAGAGTTTCGATGTTTGAGGAATTACAAAACCTAAATTAGAAATCATCAATCTCTTTCTTTGCCTGAAAAGAACTTGCTCATTGGAAAACATAAAGCACCGTTTGCATTTGCATTATTTACCCTAGATGACTTATGTATATTCGATCATTCCTATGCAACTATTCATAGGAATTCTGTAGGAATTGAACGTTACCTACAAAAATTGGTTTGTAGGAAAAAACCATGTGGGTATATTTTATTTGATTTGTTCGTTCAATATTCTTACGGATAAAAACCGCATGCCATTCACAACATGTGTAACCATCTGTTTAACAAATATTAGAAAATATACTAAACAAACTTAAAAAAAAACTAATAAACAATTTTATATCATCTTATATATTTTTTTTTCTATTATAACATTGCTCTTTAAAACCATATTATCAACTAAATAAAATGATATTAGGCACTAACCTATTAAGCACCTTACAATACAAACAATATCAACTATCCATTAAGCATTCATTTACACAACGCATAAAACATTTATTAATTAAGCACTTTATCACTTCATCTCAGGTGCACTCAAACTAATAAACCTAAACATCTAACATAATCATACATCTATACAATACATCCAATTTCAATTCTATACAATTATGCAATACATCTAAATGAGACATACAATATATGTAATACATCCAATTCGAATTCCAATTTCATACATGTATACAATACATCCGATTCTAATTCCAATTTCATAACTTGACGCAATTCCAACTTCCAATTACAATTTCATACGAATGTGTACACATCTAAACACAAAATAACTACAAGAAAAATACCCTTTAACGACGCGCAAACAATGACACTCGCCGATTTACGATACGCATTTTTTTTTGTGACCTTAAAAATAATCCCAAGTCTTCCAAAATTTGAAGGAAAGTGGACACGCATTTTTGCACGCCTTCTAATTAATGTCCAACAAAAAAAATACAAACACGGAGGGCACTTGTTTTAAATGCGTGTCCTCTAGAAATGTTACTTTATATTTTTTTTTATCTAACGCGCGTTTTTAAAGGCTGAAAATGAAATCCTTTGCGATTCTAAAATTTTGAAGTGCCCACTTCTTCACTTTTTCCTCCAGAGCTTTCTCTCTACAAACCCTAAGGCATTGCCACCTCCCTTCTCTCTAGGACGTGCTAGGGTCCAAAAATCATATCTTACGGCTGAACATGCGGCGGCCGGAAACTTCGACACCGCTATCTAGTTGCTCAGCCGCCAGCTTGGCATTCACATTGTTGAAATCATTGTTTCTTGATCTTCACATGGAGAGTCATGCTTTCTTGCGTGCTTTCTCTTTGGCTCCATTGATCTCATTGGCTATTGAGCTTGGCTGGAGTGAGTCAGCAACCCCTAACATCTGTGCCCCACTTGCACTCGTGTTTAATTTCTCTCAATTAGAAGAAAAACTCAAAGCTGGCTAGAAAGCCACCACCACTGGTAAATTCAATGAAGATTGAAAGTCAAAATTAGATTAATCGCCAATAGGAAATGATCGCAGCGCTCTCAGAACTTACTTCTGCTACCAAAGAAGAAGCCTCCTTCCTCGAATCGCACAACTTCGATCTCGATTCCGCCGTCTCCACCTTCTTCGAAGAAGCCCTAGGGCTTCATCTTCATACGAGAATTGATCTTGCTTTCGTTGGTTCACGGAGCGCCAGAGATTCCTCGCCTTGGGATCTACGTTTACGAGCGATGGTGGTTTAGGGGAAGGAAAATGGCATTGGGTGGGTTCAATCCCTTAGATTCGCTTCTAATCCCACCTCCATCTCATCTAACATTTTTCGATCTTACAAAGAAGAAGACGATAGGTCGGACTCGGTAGACGAATCCCTAAATGATGTTCAAAAGGTAATTGGTTTTGCTTTCTCTCATCTCCTGTGTGAAGGTTTAACTTTTTCCTCCTAATATGTCTCCTTTTATCCAGTAATCATTCATTAGTTTTCAATGTATAGCTTCTTTATCGTAGACCTCGACTATTCTCGAGATTTTGAATAAAATCATTTCTGGGATCTTCTTATTCTTATCCTTGGTCCACATCAATTTTATTGCTTATAAATATGTGAACCTCCACCTACTTTTATTGTTGATCATGATGGCGATTGTGGGTTGGGAAATTCGACTAAAGGGCAATTCAAAAGATCTAATGTCATATCAGGTTAATTTTTAGGGTTCTATGATTAAAATATGTTTGTTTGTAGCATCAGTGGAATTGATTTAGTGAACGAAAGTTTTGATTGTGGTTTTTTCAGATGTTGTTTGTAGCTAACAGTTCCAGCTTTTTCATTGAACTCAAGAACGAAGGGCACAACCTTTATCTATTTCTCCTGCATCCAATTAGGTATCAAATTCTCTTTTTCTAACGTTCCGATCAATTTGTTCTTCAGGTGACTGATGTGTTCCTTCATCATATCGAGAGGCTCACTCTCTCTTTCTTTCAGTATTGTACTTTATGAACTGATTCCAACTATACACCTGTCACCACCAAATATGAACTCTTCTCTCAGGTACTCCTATTAATAGTTTTTCTTATCACAATGCATTTTGAGTTTTGAGGATGTTTTCAATGGGATTCAAGAGATACAGAGAAGAGTTTGTGTTATATGTGCACTTATTTTGTCCCACCAAGTTTTAGATAAAAATCCATATTCATTTACTTCCTATGATGCTCCATATTAAGCATTATATTATTTGATTAAATCTGCAGTTGGCATATAATTGAAGTTGGGCTATCTTTTTTTTACATAAAGTGTAAAATCTAAGCTCAATGTTTATTTGTAATGCTGTTACAGGACCAACATCCTTTGTCTACTGTCGTTGAAAAAAGTGGTAGCTAATACCAGGTATTATTAATTAATGCAGATGGGCATGTAATTTTTTTTTATTAATTATGATAATTTATTCTGTTACATATGTCACAATTAATCTTTAATTGTATTTTAAGCTAACAAGAAATGTTGATACTAAATTTGGTCATTTGAGTTAATAGGAATAGAACTGTACATGCCATTGTTGAAGCAAGGTTATTATATAACAAAGTATCATAATTTATAAGGAGGATGAAAAAGAGTAGCTGGTGTTTGAAGTTTTGTTGATAAAAAGAGTAGCTGGTGTTCCCACTTATAGTCCAATGTGAAAACTGATGATGTTAAAGTAAGTAATTATCTTCCCTGCATCTCTTCTTTTACTTTTCTTATTGATAATTATTCGATTAAATGAGGATATTATCTACTACAAACTCATTTTCTCCTTATTCTATACATCTAAAAACAGAATAGAGAGATTTTCAAAGAAGGGATGTCTTTTATGAAAGATGGTTTTGTCGGGGTAATGAATTTCTAATTCATAAGTTCTTTTATTGCTTCAATATCTTTTTTCTTATTAATACTTCAATTATATGCTAAAGCCTCCTTAAAGAGAGTCGTCAATTGATGTGTTTTCCACCTTGTAGGTCAGCTTCTAAAGCTGATCTTAAGGTCCTGTTTTAGCCACGTCATTTTCTGAATTACTTTATTTACAAAAACAATGGCCCTATTGAATGACTTCATTTTCTGAGATAAGTTCTATGTTTTTTGAGTCAACTAATTTACATTGGAGGTAAACATTATGGTCTATATACATACATGAATATATGATTATTTCAACTCAGCAAAACTTGTATTTATTTTTTTAAAAAAATGTTTCATATAGGTATAACTTGATGGCAAATAGGGTCTCATTTATTATACACGTTATGCATCGAATGAAAGGAATTTGATTCTTGTGATAATGTCATAATTTACCTAATAAGGAAAGATTCTCATCACGCAAGTCTCAATTGGACAGAAACTTGGAATCATGTGGCTTGTATTGTGTGATGTATGAGAACCTTCATCTTTGGGAAATTAAGACTAGTTCCTTGTTCACATATGTATGTGATTCAAGTAAAAGACTTAAGGATCTAGTGCACATTTATGTGTACTGGTCAGATCCATCACAAAGAACGATAAGACTATTCGTTATGATTTACTAAAAGTTTAGTAAATATGGTTATGCTTACAAGATTAAGTGTAATTATGAATCATTGGAAAATTTTCAATGTATAGCAAAACGAATAAGAAGAATCAATTAGGCAAAAAGATAAGAGTTTCTCCAATCCAAAAGGAAAGGAGAGTACTCTAGTATCATATTTTTATGATCATCCTAATGATTATGGAGCCATGTCACAATTGATCCTCTAAGGACACCTTAGTGCATAAGTATGACTAAGAAGAGGAATCAGAAATTGTTGAAATGGTTAAATCAAGAAGGTGAGTCATACTTCATTCCAAAATCAAGTCTTGAAATTATACTTCAAGATTGTGTCTTGAGTGACATATCCTAAGTAGGTTTATAACACATCATGAAATATGGAGTAGAAAAGTTTTCTTACTCATGCACATTTGAGATTGGTAGTTGTGATGTTTTGAATAAAACAAAGGCCAAATAAGACCAATTGTATGAAATGTTTTTCTTGATAAGAACCCACACTAACTCTTGAATATTTGTTTGTCAGGGAATGTTTCTTGACAAGTGAATCTTATATGTCAAGAGGTCAGCAGGAGTCTTAATGATCTTGAATAGTTTCATGAACTAATCAAGAATAAACCTATTGTTTATCACTAGCACACAACTTGAGGTTTGTAACCTATCTTGTTGACATTTTTTTGTTTCTATGCCATTTCATTTAAGTTAACTATGCATGTGAGTTCTACGAGTTCTCATTTGATTGCATAATGCAAAGAACATTGGTCAATGAAAGTACATTGAACTGTAAGGGTGAGTTGCTCATTAACTTAGAAGCAATGGTAGTCCGTTGTGCTATTGGATGGAAAGAAATCAAGATTGAACAAGTTGAGTCCATATGAGTTTGAATTTGACATAGACCTTATCTTATAAAAGTGGTTGAAAATAACAAATTTACATGGATAGGAACACATACACTATAAAATCTAAGTGGCAAGAGGTTTCTCTCTACTTCATGAAAATGATTGTGAGTAAACGCTTTCACTAAGTAGATTTTAAAGAGTTAGCAGTTGTGTTAATTGCATTCTCAAATTCAAGTATAATTACGACATTCTTTTCATAGTTTGAATTGTGAGAAATGGAAAATATTTTAAACATTTAAGACTTATCGCCATAAGTTTTGAAAAGGTTTAAGCACACACATGAGCTATCTATTAAATGGTGTACAAGCTTGAGAAGCATAGATAAAGGCTTATCAAAGCATCTTGTATCAGGAATATGAACTTTGGTGAGAAAGTGAATAAGTATTGATTTCTAAAAGTCCAGCTGATTTTTGAGTAAATGTCATAGCTAGTGGGTGCATAAGTGTTATGCTAGTAAGAATGTAATTATTATGCTAGTGGGAGTACAATTATTACATTGAGTGTTGCAATGCTATTTATAGGATACAAAGTTCTGAATTTGCAAAGCTGCAAAATTTGGAAGTTGTTTCATTGTAGAAATTTTAAGGGAGAGGAACTCATACTGCATTTCAAATCTAAAAGTTTAGACTGAAATTTTAATAGGACTTATTCATGGATATATATGAATGTAATGTTGAAATGTTTCAACATTAGAAATTCTATATATGGAAACATTATACCAAGAGACTGGTAAAGTATCATGTCTTTATGTAAGACATTTTCGTGTCCCATATGCTTCCGGTATAGGATCGATTGCATATGTTGTAATATTCGCTTGTTCTGATTTTTCAAAATGCCTAGCGCATTAAGAGGTAAAAAGGACCAGAACTTGATATGACTGACGCTGTTGAAAACTATCAAGGACAATCCAATGTTTGCTAAGGATTGGTTGCTTGTGGACAGTTGGAAGTATAGTAATGGATGGACCATATTGATATAATTTTGAATAGATAGGACTCTATTTAGAATGGATAGTCATATGGCAATTATGGAAATATTTCCATAATGGGAGTTGGATATCAAGAATCTATGTGCAAGTTAGAAACTTTTATGCAAGAAGGATGTTCAAGGAACATACTTTGAATATGTGACTTCGCTTCCATGGAAATGTTTTGTAACAAATCTCTAGTGGAATGTTTTGTAATATCATTGACAAAGTATTTGTGACTTTGGTGCCTTGACATTACAAAAGGATCAATGCATGATAGTTTAGAATCTAACACATTCTAATAGTGACAAGAATTTGGTATTCTTACACTTATAGATAAGGATTAGGGAATTGTAAAATGAGCATCATTGGAAATGTGTTTAACTGATCTATTTTACAAAGTAAGGACCATAGATAAACATAGTGTGCATGCTTGGAGCATGGGATGACTATTGTTTTAATTCAAGTATCGAGTTGATTGATCGAAACATTATACAACGAGTAAGGTCTATTTAATATGGTGATTAAATAATAAGTGTTTTGTTTATATTCAGAGTCTTGAGACCATATGGGATTAGATTATTCTTCTGTTTCACTTCGCATGTTTTACTTCCCGAATAACTAGGTTATTCAAACATCCAAAGTCAATCATACTTTGGAAGTAAGTAATGAGGCAATACTGTCGTGAATCGGACTGTAGATTGTCTAAGAGCTTAGACATAGCACAAGTTTGATGCAGTGTTCACGAGTACTCCCAAAATAGGATTTGAGTATTGGATTAAACCCAAGCTCATCTAAATCACTTCATGGATTTTATCATGAGTGATTGTGAT